AAGCTATTCTGATTGAGTTTATCTGTGTTTAAATTAAAAGAAGGGGGGAAAAATCAAGGTATAGGCTCTGATTTAAAGCAGTCTCCTACGCATAGAATTTTGCTGTGCCAAGACAACACATCTGTCTGTTCTTCATGTTTTGACCTCAAGGAACGATGCAGCCTTCCTCGAGAAATCTGTCTCGATTACCCACTGGTCTGAGCAATGATGGCTATGGAGAACCATTCCCCTCCCAGTGCTGGGGCCTCTGACTGTGATGTGCAATGTGACTGGCAGTGACGAGCAGCAACTGGTGCTTCAGGGTCAGTTCATTGTTAGCACCACTCTGGTGTTAATATATGACACACAATTACACTTCATCCTCAGAAGAAAGCACTAGAAAGGAATACGCTCTTTAAAAGGCTTGCTGTAATTTTTTCCCATATTTTGAAAAGGGGAAAGCTGTTACTTTGGTTTTACATACGAGAACAGTTGCAGGTTACGAAGAGAAATGTATTTCTAATAATTAGAAGATTGCCTGGATCTGGGTTTGCATACTTGCACTGATGATGCAGGATCTGAACCCAACCCAAGTGTTTGAAAGTCAATGAAATTTTCTCTTTTCCAAACACAAATCTAATCCACCTCAGCTTTACGCACTGCTTGCTGCAAACAAAAAGTCGGCTTTTTGTTCCTGTTTATGTATCAGTTACAGCTTAACCAGGGACACAGAGGAGCCACTGTGCTGCCATGGAGCCGTGGGGCATTCCAGCAGGTGCGGATCAGCCCTATCACCAAGCTCCGTGCAGGTGGGAGTGCAGCCAACATGGACTGGGGAGAGCTTGGACAATACGACTGTGGGTTTCCCTGTCCCACAGTGCAAGAAGGAGGGATAAGGGTGAGCAGTGGAAAGAAGACATGGAAGGGAACAAAACATTCGGATTTGGAGAGAAACAGCATTTAATGCAATCTTCTATTCACCTTCTGTCCTCCGCTGATGTGTTCCAAGGTAAGGAAGACAGAGATGTCTTGACTAGTGGAACTTGCAGTATCAGCAAGAACTTCAGCACATGCTTGTTTGGCCTCTCTGATCTTGTCTATGTTACTAACATGGAGATGATTCAAGTACACAATAAGCTGCTCTTTAACAGTTGAATAAGGTACTCTAGGTGGACTGTCAGGCATATAACTTTACATATTTTTAAGAAATATGTCTGTTAAATTACTTGATTCATAAAAAGGTGCATGATTACAGGGAGACAAATGTAGCGTTGCCTCCTCTAGGGAGCACTAGGTCAGGAATTTCCAACATGCAGTCAAGCAAGGAGAAAACGCTTTGTTGACTGTAATAGAAGAATTTTCATAACATCTCATATGATTCAACAGCAACTCCTCCATTAGTTCTAGTACTGCTGAGTTGAAGATCAGCCGTTCTTCATTGCCCTTTCTATAGATGAAGGATGGAAACTATTCCCTCTTCATCCCAGCCATCCTAAGCAGTTGGGTGAGAGAGCTCACACTGTACTAGCACTGGGAACAAAAGGAACAGTTCCTTTCTTGAGTGCTGACACCCTGATACCACTGACAAGAAGCAGTTCCAATTAGGAACGTGGAAAAGGTACAAGAAGTTTAGGCAACTTAACTGAATTGATCTGCTAATTGAAAAGGGTCACGGGTACCCTGAGTTTGGCACGACTGCTGGGACAACAGACCGCTAGGAGCACAAATGGGGACAACACATGCTTCACTCAATTAAGCAATCAATAAGATTGTTGTCTTCTGTCTCTGCATTCTGGCAACATGAGCACCCAGGTATTATTTTTGAAACAAATTGTAATTTGAACCTTGCCAAGCCAATTAGAATGTTACCTGCAAGGTCACGAGCATCCTTAAAAATAGTGCGGATTGACTTATCTTCTGGTGACAAAAAGCCCCAGAGATATTTTTTTTGGCACCTTGCATTCAGTTATTTTCACCCCTCACTGTTTTCGTATCAACTGAAAATCATCTCAAGTGTTACAGTGTGACAGTGTTAAGTTCCCTGCTCTCATGCTGGAACAAGAAGGAAAGCTGGGTGATGTTCTTTCCCCTTACCTGCTAGAAGCTGAACATGTAGGAAAAAGAAGAAATAGAGTAGGCCAGTACAGTGTTGAATAGAGGTGGTGAAAAATTAAAGCTTAATGATTTCAAACCCCTTTAAAAATAGTTTTGAGAACAAAAAGTTCTTGCTTTCCCCAGTATGCTGGGGGATTAAATGAGCACAAAGCAGTGCATGGCCTGCCTGCCTCCATAACATACATACACACATTAAGAAATTAAATTGCCAGGCTCTGGCATAGATCTACAGGAATTCTAAAATGAGATTAATATGGTTATTATTAGCAACTCTTTAGCAAATGTCTCAGCAATCAGAGTTTGCATGTTTGGTTTTTTTTCAAAATACAGATAAAGAAGAAAAAGTCACTGTTCTTCCCTCCAATCCCATTTTACCAACTCTGCATTCCTTCAGTGCTGACTATTCACCCTTTGCTCTTTTTAAGGGTGAGTTTGGATCCCACGAAGGCTCAGAAAACCTGGGTGTGACTCTCTGCTTGATTTTTAGTTCCATTGTCTCCTCAGCATAAATCTGAGATTGCCAAGACTGAATAAATAAAACTTAGTTTTCAGAAGGAAGTTTTATAGTAGTTGATGATACAGTTCAGTATTTTTTTGCTTTTCAGCAGTATTTGTCTTTCAGCATTTTGCCCTGTGTTCTGTTTTTCTCCTTTCAAGCCAAGTCATGATTTCACTTGATTTGTAATTTGAATACAGCCAGGTGTCTCCACTATCCCCAGTATCCTGGATGTGATACACAAATATTTCCTTCCCAAGACCAAAAGCCTTTCTTTTACAATTTTTTAAGTTTTGAAACCTTACATAAAACATTTTTTCTTGAATTTCATTCTTCCTGGGACTTAAGGAAGCTCTTTTCATGTTGCTTTGAATCAAGGCAAACCTACTACACATTATCATCTGATAAAAAGTATTTCCGTTACTGTAAGCAGAATGTCTAACAAGATGCTTCAAACAAATGGGGCAGAAGTAACCTCAAAGAAAATAGCACTTTCCTCTTTGAACAGTTGAAATGTTTGGCTGTTGTACAGAGGTAATGGATTACACAGGAAAGAATTCATTCTCTCCATGCAGCAAAATCCATTATTTATAGGAGTGTGATGATAAGGAGACTTATCTAACACTAATTCCAGCTGCTCAAAACTGTTGCAGAAGATCATAATTACCGTTGCTATAAATTCATTAGCACGATAGATCTTGCATTGCCGCTGAATGCCCGACACAACAGGGAATCTGATCCCTTAGGACAGAACAGGCTTCATAACCCCCTGCACAATTAAGTCTAACTAGGTTAGCTTGCTTGTGGTGAGAAGTATAAAGGCAGTTTCATCATGTTCCTCGTAGGCTTATTTATGATGCTTCTCTGTGCTCCCACAACAAGGGCTGATTCTATACAAATGACTGTGGACTCATTTACACTGCACTGATCACATCCCTTCAGAATCACTTGCAGATCTGTAGATCAAGGAGAGAACAGAAAATAAACTCCTAAGTGAGAATCCTGTGCCCTGTCCTGCCTGCAGCACTCTGAATGTGTATTTCCACTGGAAGGCAAAGAGTAAGGGAGCTCCATCCATTTCCACCACCTTTCTCCTCATCCCTGAATCTTTTCTGAAGTCACAGTGCCCCTGGGCTGGCTAGGATCACTATTTACAACCAGTCCCATACTTCTGTCTGTCCTCATCCTGATTAGCCTTGTTCAGCCTCCCTCCCCCAGCACAGGTTGCAGAGCTCTGGCTGGGAGGCTCTAGCTCTAGACCTCACCTGCTGCTGACAGACTCAACAAGAACAGAAACCACAGACAGTAAAACCAATTGCATTTGGCAACTCAGAGGCATTCATGTTCAATTTGAGAGCTGCTTTTCTAACAAAGACAGGTGAAATTACCTTATGGGTGTTTTGCTTTTGCTTTTCAGCCAAATTAACAGCAATTACATAAAAGAACGATTCATTTTCTGCTGCAAACATAAACAAGCTGCCTGCAAACAAATTTAGAGAGGAAAAATGATGCAATATGGAAACTTCAAATCGAGCTTTTAAAGCAATGTTGCTGGGTTGCCATGAAAAATGCTTAATCATGTGGCTTATATTGCAGACACTTTTTCAGCAGGTTATGATTGTGAACAAATGATACGTCAGCCTCCTAAATTTTTCATCTGCAGACACTGATAACCAATGCCTGGTATTGAATACCCCGCCTCTGGCTGAATTAGCAATTGGAAATGCGAGGTGTGTGAAATGCTTCAGGTTCAGATAGGTAAGTGCCATCAAACAGGAAGGACAAGTTTAGTTTCAATGCAGACTAGATTTACTGAGCTTTACAACATCATTGACGTTTTCAGTGCAGCCAATCAAAATGATTTTACTGATCCAAAGTTGCTCTGTCACCTGAACTGATTAAGGAACACCGCTGATTTTGATTTTAGCATTCAGCAGTGGCCAAAATTTGCTTTACTGTCATCAACACTGAACTCAGAAAGACTAGAAAGAAACTAATTCTGAGTACTTTTGAAAAGCCCTACCTTAGAAATCCTTACTTTATGTTACTTAAAATATGCAGTTTATAGGATCTACCATGAGAAATTCTGCCAGAGTGGATCTGCAGTGCGGCTGAGAATACAAGCAAACAGATGATCTATATAATACTCTTACTTGAAGCTTTGAAATCTGACAACTAAAAATAATTTTTTGGAAGGAAAACTAATTCCTCTCCATCTCTTTTCCAGTACATGAAATATTCAACTCCAATTTTCTTTTCCAGGAGGAAATGGCAACAGCATTTTGCAAATTGCATTCTGTGCACAAACCTCTCAAGCTTTCCAACTTGTACTCAAACCCCAAGACAATAAAAATGCATATAAACTATTTAGAAGCCCATCAGAATAAAAACCAGAGGTATTTAAATCACATGCTATTTCAAAGTCCAAGATGTTTATTTCAGATTATAAGGAACTTTTTCTGCTGTCACACAAACTTACACAAAATGTCAGAAAGATATAAAATAACCTTATTCCAGACCACGTGATGAGACTGAATTTGTACAAGTCTGTGGGACCGGACCACACGCATCCCAGGGTCCTGAAGGAACCAGATGAGGCAGTTGCCAAGCCTCACTCACTCATATTCACAATGCTGTGGCTGTCAGGTGAAGTCCCCAGTGACTATAGAAAGGGAAACATCCTTCCCATTTTTAAGATAGAAGGGAAGAGCTGGGGAACTACCAGCCAGTAAGCCTCAGCTCTGCGTCTGAGGGATCAGGGAACAGATCCTCCTGGAAGCTGTGTTAAGGTGCAGATGAGACAAGGATGTGATCCAAGCCATCCTGATTGAGGTAGGTCTGCTCCGTGCTCTTGGTCTGACCCAGAGAATGATGTTAGGAAATCACTAAGGAAAAAGAAAGTGTGCCAAGAAATTATCATAAAACACTGAGAACATGAGAATTTTTATTTATTTGAAAGTGGCTGAGAGTTTTCCTTTTGATTTGAATAATGACTATTAATTGATTACTGAATCAGCTATCAGACAAGTGCTCTGTCTGCATGTCAAGTTATTGGCATGATATGAAACAAAATGGTAAAGAAAAACAGAGAATATTTACCTTCTGAAATGCCCCATGCATCTCAAACTGCTTCACAGTACCATGAGTAATAGTGCTGCTGTCACTTTATGAACTGCAGGAACAGCATTTGCTACATGGTGAGTAACTGCTGCCATGTAATTCTTCTTTAAGAGGAAGAAGTTATAAAGTGCTATCATTTTAAAAATGTATTTTAAAGAAAATTATTAGAGTTGTTGCGTATTTTATTAAAAGATGTCATCCCATGTAAACCATAGGATGATGGAAGGGCTGCTCTCAGCTCTCGCTGACTTCAGACCTACGAATTAGGAGCTGAAAGGGCTGCTCAAATCAAGGTAACTTCAAAACTTCCGAAACTGAGGATTCAAGCCATTCTTAGGCAGGAGGCCACTGGGATCTGTAAAGCAGCACAGTGATAAGCATGCTAGCACAAAGGCAAGACCAGGTCTCCAGAGGTGTAAATCAGCATGAAATTCAACGAAACTGCACTATTTTACTTGAGCAGAGCAAGGACAGGTCCCATCACTTGTCTACAAAACTTGGTTATCTTTCTGAGTTTGCTGTTCATAATAGTAATGTATAACAACATTTGAGGTCCTGTCCTCAGCTGTGCCTCCTCGTTGTCACAGCAGCTCACCTCTCCTGTGCTGCACAGCCTGAAGGGATTGGGTTATATGAAGTGGGGTTACTTGTTCCATTTCTCACAAATCTTCACTTCTGCTAACCTGAACTCACTTCTGATCTTGTTCAGCTTACAATTTGACTAATAATTTACCTTTGCTTTTTTCTTTAAGAATTATAATTTTTTCCTTTCTGGATAAGTGATCTGTTCTTTCATTGCAGTTTCTGCAGTTTAATCCTGAATATCAGTGAATTATTGCTATTTCATAACTTCCTGTTTTTATCCTGAGTAACAATATTAATACTGAGTCTATCTTACCAAGTCTTTGCTTACAGTAGGAGGGATTTTGCTCCCCCAGTACCCACCAAGAGATTCAAGGACACAAGGGACATGAGAAGCCTGACAGCCAGGGACGACTGAGGCAAAGAACTTGTTGAGTACCTCTGGCTTCTCTGCGTCTGTTGTTGCCATTTCTCTCTTTTCATTTATCGGGGGGAATGAGAATCCAATATCTTCAAGTCTGGATGAATAGGAGAGAACACATTATTGCTGGAAACAAACTACATCCTTCTGCATACTTTACTTGGCTTTATTCCCCTCCTTTTTTACTTTCCTTACTAAGTATGTTGTGTGCATTTCATGATTACATTTCAGGGAAAAGAATGAAGTGATGAATCTAATAGGATTCAGTACTAAGATCCTGGGAAGGCTGAATGAGCAATCTTTTCAAGTAGCTTGTGGAGAAAATGCAGAGAAATTATTCCAGAGAGCTCCTATTTATTTTCTTTCACTTTCCAAATTGCATGAGATAACATTCTATTTATAAGGGAGAGATGGTGACATAACCAAAAGGAAGCTGCAATTTCATCCTCCTACATCAGTTGCAATGAGACTCAATGGCAGAAGAGCTAATAAAACCTAAGCCAAATTCCCTTATACAACTTCATCTTCAAGTTCACCTTCACTTCTCAGGAGAAGGACTAAAAAACACTCTGACTCATAGGCCACATACCACCTCTGCTTTGGTGTGCAATAAACCATTGAGAAGGAAATAATAAATGACCTTGCATGCTCCCAGGAGACAAACTAGGGATCTGCATCACCTGCTGTCTCCATGGCCAGGCAGTGCTAAAAGCTGCAACTCCCCACATTTATTTCTCCCTTGGTTTTGGGCACACTCATCTTCCTAGGATTTACCTATTTCCAATTACTCCTCCTGCTCAAGATTTTAATTAGGATTATTTAAATTAAAATGCATATTCTGGATTACATTACCTTGGCACCTTAGATTAAGCACGCATACAATACAATCTGAAGATAATAAATCGTTATTCCAAGCTTCTATACCTCAGCCTGAAAGAGTATTAACGTCTTCAGTGCACTGAGTAAAAACCATAGAACTCAAATGCCAAACCACTGTGAGGAAGTCTCTGATCTTTACATCAAAGTGCACCAAACAGCAAAGACCCTGTTTGCAGCAGTGAATGTCTTGTGAAGGTCATGCAGTTTTCAACTTTGCTTAGATAAACTTAGAAGTACTGATATGTTGAAGAATCCAATGTTAGCTCCATCTGAAACCAAGTGTAAAAAGTGTTAAGAAAGTACATACCTAATATCTAAAGACCACTACAGCTTTATAGGAAGTGCCTGCCTGCTTGCTTTAATCCAAATTAATGCACAGGATGCACACCCATTGCTCCTTAGGTACAAGAGCATTCATACATTATCCTCACCCTACTGATATTTTGCTGGTTTTCTTTCCATAAAGTTTCAAGGTTAACCAGAGTTTGTGTTTGCCAGCTGCAGAACCACAAATTCTCAAGCCTAATGAATATAACTGCCTGCATTTCAAGAGACACTAACGATCTACAATTAATGATGTTAGTTACCTCTGAAAGAGAATCCTGACTAAAATTTCTTTCCAAGTGAGTCCCAATAAGTTTGGACTACTTGCTCACATTCCAAGAAAGCCCTCTAAAAGCTTAAAATAGATAGAGGGAGAAAATGGAAGAAGAACTTCAAAAAGAAAAACAAAACTCACAGTCTACCACTACATCACTAGAGATGTTGATTTCCAGGAAAAAGCTCTTATCCTCTATTCTCCTGTAAGAATAGAATCTTTCATCATCTCTTCAGAACAAGGTGCTCCACTGTTTCTTTTAGGCTTATCTTCGTCCCTTTTCCTTGCCCCTTTTATATAAAAGAATCCCCCTAAGATCATTTTTAAACACTTAGACTCTTTAGAAAGGCTTCTCTTCTGTATGAGTTTGCTCCCTAAGCATCTTATATACTTCATCTTCTTTCCATGCCTCCTTTGATCAAGTCTGAAACCCAGTTATAATAACTTGCTAAAACAGAATAGAAAATGCACTCTTCCTGCCTGACAGACCATCTTGCTGAACAGAATTGAATCTGCTGCAGGTCTAGCCAACAAAACTCTCAAGCATCACCCTTAGATGTGCAGTCAATAATCAGAATTACAAGAAATGTACAGATTAAAAGCTACCTAGTAGCTCTCATTCACTTTTATTCCTCTTTAGCTTTTTCTTGCAATCCCTATTGCACAAAACCTTTATACAGAAACCTATAAAATGAGTCTGGCTTGACATCATTTAGCTGGAAATAGAAGTAGTTAATACTAATCTTTGATAGTGCAAGCCACTCATTGGCCTCTGAGTGTTATCCAGCAAAGAATTACAAGACATGCAAAAAGCACTAACTATGAAGGGCAGTAATGCCTTAGCAGTAAGCCTCTGGAGAAGTCAACAGGTAATCACAAATCTTGGCCTGAAAGAACAGGCTTCATTTTCAGAGTCTTCAAGTAGGTCCTCCAAGGGCACTTTTCTCAGTGCAGAAAGAAGAGGAACAAGTGTCTTGTTGCCAAAGTTAGTTTCCAGAAGTGAAAACGTTTCAAAGCTTATACTTAAGGTAAATCCGACAGGCTAGAAATTATAAACCTTCAAATACTTGCCCCATTTAGCAGATGCTTAAGTGAAGAACCAGAAACTTACTTCCAGTCTAGATGGAATTTTAATCTGACCAAGGTTATTTACATTTGGCCCTAACCCTGCAAGAATCCACTGCACCAACTCAGCAGTAGGGATTGCCTAACAGCCAATTGGAGCTATTGTTATTCTTGCTTATGCCTTCAATTGAAGCATCAGCTAGTAACAGAATACACAAATTACAGTTTCACACTTTCACATGGAAACCTGCATTTTTGACTTAGGAGATGCAGCCTTTCAGTTGCTGGAGAACATTGTTCCTGCTCTCCATAATCCTTCATAATAGGCTCTTTAAAAGGAAGCCTGCAGCAGAAAAATATTTTGTTGTATTTTAAATAGCAATCTTTGAGGATCTCTTCATCTATTATGTCTTCAGCAATTTTGAGACCATCTATTGACTAATTGGACAATATGCAAATTATCATAGCCTATTTAAATAATTCAGAAGTGGGCCACTGACCTCAAACTAAAGTGATTTCAAAGTGAAGTAAATTAACACTCTTAACTTCTGAATACCTTTGAATAGGGAACACCTAGATGAGAGAACTTCACAACACAAGCTTCGTGTATTAACTTTATTTCAGTCAATCCATACAGAAATAAATTGCCCCAGCTTTTAAGAAACTTCTGTTGCAACCAATGGCTAGATTGTTTAAACATGAGCATTGAAGATGTAATAGTCTGAGTCAGTTTCAGTTCAAGACAAAACATTACATAGGACAACTGAGTGATCTTGTGTGAAGTCTGCAATCATCCACTCAACAGATCAGTTCTGATGCCTTGCACATCCCTTGCTGGTTTTCTCTCTATAAAAGAAAAGCTTTATTTAATTTGCAGTCAGCATCAAATACCTGAATGGAGTTAAATGGCCTAAGATTGAACCACATGGACAAGCTACATGACACTAACCTTTAATCAAGGGCATTTCTCCATAAAGATTACATTTCCCAGGACAAGATTTTCCTTGCCCATACAATTAGCACACATTCTGGTCCAGGGCAAGTCTAGGAAGAAAAAACAGATCCACTTTACCAAGATATTATTTAATTTAGTTTGACTGATCTACATAAAATCAGTTTTAAAAACTCTAGACTTCCACAGAGGCTTCCAGAAGTCCAAACTAGTTTCAAACTAGGTGGGTTTTTTTTTTTTTTTTTTTTTTTTTTTTTTTTTTTTTTTTTTGTTGTTGTTGTTGTTGTTAGTTTGTTTATTTAACTTTCAGTTAAGCAATAATTTAAGCTACTTAGATAGAGACAACACAACCCCATCCACTCAAGTCTGATAAGACTTTTTACACTACGTACCTGGAAGACCAATCAATTTACAAGGAACTCTTTTGACTCCATATTGTTTATCTCATGAGGCATATTCTAGGCAGTCAAGGAGCACCAACACACTTGAACTCTGAAAATTGAAAAAGATTAATGTGAAACAGAATTAGATAACATGATCATCAGATGACTTCCTCAATCCTAGAAGCTTCTTTGAAAGCTATAAAGTTGACTCATTAACTTTCTGAAATTCATGAAAGTGGTTTTATGGTTTCATTAACGTGTTCCTCTCAGCGTGATCCAAAGAAGAGTTTCAGCCTCACCTCTGGGTTTGAGAGAGAACTGTTATACCCCTCCATACTGGCCACTTAAGACACTGAGAGACTTAAGAGGGCAAAGCTAAAAAGGGGAGTAGATCATACCAATTTGTTCTAAGATTATTTGAATTTACTATTTACTCCAATCAGACAACTTACTTGAAACTCATGAATTATCAAAAAAGCATGACTTAAAATGGTCAATAACTCATTAAAGTAAAAAGCACTTACCTTCTTAACAGGAGGTATTATTCATTCCTAAGGAATCCTGAGGACTGCTTTCAGTTTAGGTGTGATCATCCATTTCTAGCCCGCTTCAATCATGAAATCACTAAGTGACTCCTAATAACAGAGAGGCCAATTATTACAGTGTAAAATTTCAGAAGTCACTTATGAAGTTCATCATCAAATATCTACAGCAAGGTATAGTAGATGGTTTAATCAAACGGATGAGAATATCCTTATCCAATGCAGCCATTTAAAGTAAATAATACATATCTTCTTAATATTGCTAAATACACTGCTAAACAGAGCACTTAAATTACTTCTGGTGCTGACATTACCAGAAGCTGGGAGTTCTCAGCTTTAGGAGAAGCTTTAACTGGCTAATTCCTTACCACTGTGTGCCTACTTGCTATACCTTGCAACAAATCACAGGGAGACACCGAAAGCTACTGTATCAGATAGAAGAGGAGGCCGGGCCTAAGGAAAACTACCGCACAGAGGCAGAGCAACGACGGGTTGAGCTCGACCTGTGAGACCCAGCGGGGGCAGAGGAAGGCTCACTCTGAGGCGGCACGCCCACCTACCGGCATCGGCAAGCGAGGCTCCAGCCCCAGCACGGCCATGGCAGCGGCCGCCGGGACGGGGAGCGACCAGCTGGGCAGAACCCCGGAGAGCATCGGGAGACCTCGTGGGGACCTCGCGCCGGAGCTGGGGAAGCAGAGAGAAGTCAGCACGGGAAGGGAATGGAAGGAGCCGTGGGGCGGAGGGAAGGGACGCTTGTGCCTCACGACAGGATGCAGGACGGAGGGGCGGCTCCGCACTGTGTTTATGTGAGGAAGGCGCTCTATCCCCCTGTGTTGACTCCTCGGGGCACTGCCAGGCTCCGAGAGGGCAAATGTGAAGGGAAGACGCGATGTAGGCCCCCGCCCCGCCCTCCGCCCACCGGCACGAGCCTCCCCCAGCCTTCACGCCACCCGCCCCTCATACAAGAGGAACGCCAGGCGGATGCCTTACCGCCTCACCGCCGGGCGGCGGGGAAAGAGGGCGGGCGGTGCCTCCGCGGCCTTTAAATACGGCCCGCCGCTCCCGCGAGATCCGCGCGAGCCCGACGTCTCCGGAGAAGGTGGGGAGGGGGAGCCAGTGGCACGGGCGCCGTCGCCTGTTGGTTGAGTAGGAGCACGTGACCGGAGGCGGCAGCACGTGACCGCAGGCGGCATTCCGCTCCTCACCGGACGGGTAGTGGGATGTGCGTGCTGGTCTCGGGGTCGCTGGAGCTCGGGGAGGGCTCCAGGCCTCTCAGTCAGGAGCGAGCTAGGGCCTGTAAGGCTTCTGTCGGGACGTGGCTACTCAGCTCTGCCCGGATGACAGCTGCGTGGGTCCGGAGGTCTTTAACGTGCAGACGTTCGGTGTAAAGTAGCAGCTGCATAGCGGTTTCAAGAAGCTAAATACAGCTGATCTCTGTCTAAACTCCCGTCTAAGCCCTTCTTTAGGAGACTTAGGATTTGCGTGTAAGGCTGGCGAGGCAAGCCCCAAGGCCGTGCTAATATCCCGCTGACTCCCAGCAGGTGAGCACGCCTGGGCAGTAGGCGCAGGGCCGGCCGGCCCGGCACGTTCGAGTTACACACAGCACGTGTCACCAGCCCTGGACGCACTGCCTGGCCTTGGAGGTTTCTGATCTCTGAATTACAGTCAACCAGCCTAGTTGGTTTGATTCAGGCTAAAACAGACACATAGTAACAACCAAGGGATAGTTAGAGAAGTTTTCTTACCACTTGTAGATACTTGGCTAAATCTTGATACAAAATATAAATCTTAAAACACTGTTGCAGGTGCAGTCCTTTTGTGACAGTATGCCTGTTACCACGATATCAGGATTGAAAAGCAGCCTCCTGACTACAGGTAAGCCACTCTGTTTACGAGTTTGCAGATGCACCTAGCTTCAGGTGATTTCACGTGAGGGTCTGCACAATAGCTATTTTTCTACAGGTAGGCAAGTAAGCTGGGTCAGTCTGTTCATGTAGTTTAGTCAACAGCATAAAGAGGCATTCAGCCTTTACATTTTTACCATTCATGGCTTTTACTATGAAAGTTTGACTAGTAAACACAAAAGTATTAGGGGAGTGGGGGGACAGGAATGGTTAAGGAGAGCTGTTTCAAGACCTTAAGATTCAGGTTTTTTGTGCTGTTTTTGATCCACAGTGATTACCTCCTGATAAAGCAAAGCCATCACTTCTTATGAGTGTGAGGGGTTAGCAGGCAGGTTGTGCACGTGCCCAGGAAAAGCTCATCAAGTCCCTTGTTGATCATGCCAGTGGTCCATTTTTCCTGTTGACACCAGGGCACCTCTGTTTTAGGCAGTCACCGTGAAGAATATTTTGAGGTCTGTGTTTTGAACTTACCTAAGTGACAACTGGCTGTCTTGGTTATTTTGTGCACTTAGTGTTGATTTTTTAAAGGAGCCTATGGTGATCTGAATTCAGCTGTTCAGATTTTGTAGGTTGGTGCCCTAGTCATCAAGGTCCCTCTTTGTAGGATGCATGAATTTCTCTATGTCATTGGTTTGATACCTTTCTAAGTGGACAGAATTTCATTTGTTCAAAAATATCACACTGAGTTCATCAAAATGCACAGTTATTTTTAACGTTTCTATTCAGTTTCACTTCTTTTCTCCACATAGATATGAAGGAAAATCAAGCAAGCAAAATCTTGATATAGCTGTCAATCTTTGCTGATAAATGTCAGTATCCGTCTGCATTATATAACTGGCAGATTTGGAACCTTACTAAGCAGTTGTTTCTATGTGTGTTTGTTTGTTTGTTTTTTAATCTATATGTCCGATGCAATAGGACTGTGTCTTAATTAAATCCGTGGGATGTTAATTCATTAAAAATGCAATTTGATTAATTTATGCCACCATTTACATGAAATGAAAGGGCCGTTTCAAATTCATGCCCAAAATAGACTAAATACAGCTTCCAGCCTATCTACTATCAAAATATCCTTTGTGTTTTGTTCTCTCTATGTGAGACAAAATTAGAGCCTGTAGAATAGAATAAAAACAATAAAAGAAATCCTTGGGGGTATGCAAACCAGATTTGTTATTTCTGAAGGTTTCTGGTGTTTTTTCTCAGTGAACCTTTTCTGAAGAATGGCAAATTACTTCCATGGCTATGAAGTCTGGTCATCTCAGCAATACATAATGGTTAGAACTCAAATGGTGCTTTCCACTCTGCCAATATAATGTTAATATTAGCACAGGTAGGCTGGATTCACAGATGAATTTAATGCAGACTTTCATTTTCTCTGCTTTAAGTTTGGTAGGTGACAACTGAGTTTGCTAAAATTCTAAAAATAAATGATGATAACAATGTAACTTAAAAAAAATTACAGAATTGGGAAAAAAAAAAGTGGGTAGTAACTGCCATGAAGCTGATAATGTCCTAGAGAAGAAAGCTGAGGCTTTTATTGGACTAAGGGACGCCCGAGAACCCCTCCACATTTGTTTTCCATGGACTGCCATGAACTTTAGAACACAACACACTTCTATCATTAGAACTCCAGAAGTCAATAGAATATCTCCTGTGGACCTGTTAGGAAGTTCAGTCCATGGGCTGCAAGCTGGCATTTGGCATTGTACTAAAGCTTCCAATCTGTTCTGCAATGGAAGCCAACTTTCATGGAAAATATCTGTTGTTAACTTTAGAAAGGGATTATCATGGAGCTTTCTACTCTGTCTTCTCTTTTTCTTGGATGTAGCATTAGAAAGTGCAATTTTTCAGCTTTGCAGTGGTCCCCACATAGGTGAATTCCTATTACTCTGACAGCCCAAAGAGCTGATCTTTCTCACTGAAGTTAATGATGAGTTGTACTAAAAGCTGAAGGCATTATGTAGCCCAAATAAGGTTAAAAAGCTTTGGCCTAGTGTTTATACAATGTGTGACTGTCTTACCTTGCAGAAAAATGGAATACCAGGCAGATTTGTATCTCTAGAATAAAAATTCAATGCTGTGGGAACAACAGTCACTGAAATTTCCCTTTTCTCAACAGAAATCAACCTAAAAACTGTAGTCTCAGTAATCTGAGGGGTTTGTATCTGTCCTTAGTGCTCATGCTTCTATCAGCATATTTGTTCATGCTTTTAAATCTACAGTGATCATTTTTGTAGAATAAATATTGTGATATGTGAAAGATGATAAAGTGTTTCTAAAATTCTAACCATACTGATAGTAGTGCTGATAATGAATTCAGCTATCTTGGATAGCTGAATTCTCTTTAATTTCTGTTACGTACTCTCCCACCTCCCAGAAAATCTGAGTCTTGTTTTAACTGCCTTTTCCACTAAAACTTGTCCCTATTTCCTAGAAATTGAACCCAAATATGATTATTCCAAAGACTTTTTCAGCAAAATTGATGGATGATCTCCCCTTTCTGGACTTATTTCAGGGATTGGTTGTTACAACAAAAATTTAAATGAACCCTCTGCAAATTCCTCATTTCTGGAAATGAAATGGAATGTTTTCTCTTAACAGTGAGCCAGTATTAGCTTTGCTACCAACTATGCTGTGTACATTTGGACAACTCACACGAAGTTTCTGCTGCCTGTTTTCTTTGTAAAATAGGCTGATATTAACTCGTCTCCCAGTAATTTGACAGCTCTAAGTGAATGTTTGCAAAGTAGTCTGAGACTTTCAGGTGGAAACCATTAGGAAAGTCACAGCCTCAGCCAGCCAAAGGGAGTATTTACAATAGGTACTTATTTTATATAGTGAAATACAAATGTTGGAATGTATAACCAGATGAAAAAAAGACTGACCTGAAAGTGAATGCAGGAGGAGAAAGACCGCTCTAAAAGTAAATGCAGGAGACGTTTTTTGACCTTTCAACAGAAATTATGTAAGTGCTCTCAGGTTATAAATAGCCCCTTGTTTTCCTTCTCTTTGTTTAGCACTCAGAAGTAACACTGGGTTACTTGTTTGTTATGAAGAGATAGGGCAGTGCTTTGGAGTGGGAACAATTGCTCACTGTTCTTTATTTACACAGATCCTATAGTGTTTGCAGCTAAATTTTGTTGCTTTTCTTAGCAGTTTTTTATCTTCAAAAAGCTACAGAAATGAACTTTCTAGTTCTGAAAACAACAACCCCGAAGAAAATCCATAGCACTCACCAACCCATTTCAAGAGGGAAAGTTTCTTTTTGTCTGGCCTGATCTGTGGCTTAAGAGCAAATAAGTCGGTGCTAAATGATCATTAAACTAGCACATTCCTTATTCAACCCTTAAACAGAAGGTACTAAATGCTTTGTAGAGCAGTATGTGAATACATGTGTGTGTCTGTATGTCCATATTTCAAAATAAGCATATCTTCCACAATGTCCAATTCCTTTAACAATGACAAAGAGCTTATCTAGTAGCAATTTATTTGGCAGCACCAACATGTAACAAACAGAAACTGCCTGGAACCTTACTCTGGAAATCAGGGAATGTGGATCAGCAAGAAAGCAGAAGTATGGAAATACCTCTTATCCTTGGGGTGCCCCGGGGGTTGGGGCATTTTGAACATCTACCTTGTATTTCTTTAGGTTTTGTGACCTTGCTGTTACCATGTATGTAAATTACTTTGTTGCCTTATTTATAAACCATTTATAAAATGGTTTATTTGCTTCATTGATTTTCACTGAGAGAGAGCATGATACCCTACAGTAAATCAAAATAAATACTATGTAGCAAAGAGAATTGAGGTGGTCTTCTGAATTAAAGGGATTTGGGCTTAAAAAACAGCTACAGTATAGTACATTCAATCTCTGTGGGCTACTTTGAAATGCACTGGAGATGGACTCAGGCCTCAATTGCTTCATGACTGCAGCTGGAGGTGGCCAGTCATGAAATGACACCTGGGCTGAGCTCCTGTTTCCTTTGGTTAATTCAACAAGATCTGTAATATTACTTTTAATCCAGACCCTAGGGGTTGTGCAAATTAATACTTGAAGTGAGTCAAATTGACATATAGTGCAAGATGGTTGACTTAATAAAATTACACCGAAGATGATTTTTTTTCTTCTGTAGTATTTTATTTGATGATTGTTTTACACAGTGATTTGTGAGTCTATGAGGCAGTTTAGTGGCTTTGCTGACTTCAGTCTGTAACATCCAAAAGTCTCCATGAGGGATGCTGGAAGTACAGCTTCCTCCATACTGTATTTCAAACATGTCCACAGTGATTTGATACAGTTAATTTCAGTTATTGAGGAAAGAGAGTTCTGCCTCTGTGACAGCTCTATTTAGAGTTTCTTTGCCGAAACAGCCAACAGAATGCCAAGTAATGCTAGTTTTGGTGCAGTTTTTGTAAAGTGGGCACTTATCCACCAGGAGCTGGATGGCAGCCAGCTGTCTTAGCAGCCTTCACAGGGTGGGATGCATCTTTCAGATGCTGCTGCTGCTGCCAGATTTTTTAATAATAATCAAAGACCTTCTCTTCAAACCCAAACTCTCAGAAAATTTCAGAATGTTTCCTGTAAATAATACCCATGGAGCCAGGCTCTGCAGACTGAAATTATTACATTATAGCAGTGTGAACTGGAAAGTGTAGCCGAACATGAGCTGCCATGTTTCCAAGTAAGCACCAAAATGTTACCAGCTTTCTCTCTTAAGAATCCCTTACATGTAGGGAAAGAACAACACAGGGACTTTAAGTTCCCGATGGGAACAGCTAAGGAAAGGGATGCTGAAGCCATATCCTAGAATCACAGAATGGGCTGGGTTGAAAAGGACCGCAATGATCACCGGATTTCAACCCCCCTGCTATGTGCAGGATCACCAACCACCAAACCAGGCTGCCCAGAGCCACATCCAGCCTGGCCTTGAATGCCTTCAGGGATGGGGGCAACCTGTTCCAGTGCCTCCTCGTTCCACAACCTCCTTGGGTAACCTGTTCCAGTGCATCACCACCCTCTGTGTGAAAAACTTCCTCCTAATATCTAACCTATACCTCCCCTGTCTCAGTTTAAAATCATTCCCCCTTGTCCTATCACTATCCACCCATGTAAACAGCCATTCCCCCTCCTGTTTATACACTCCCTTCAAGTACTAGAAGGCCACAATGAGGTCTTCCCGGAGCCTTTTCTTCTCCAAGCTAAATAAGCCCAGTTCCCTCAACCTTTCCTCAGAGGAGGGGTGATTGTAGGTGAACTCCATCCATGCTTCTCCATGAGATTTTCCACACGGCCACAAGATAACATCTTTGTGCTTCACCACAAGTGCAAATTTAAGGTGCCCATAGCTTTTAATGCTCTCACGCCCTGGAGGATGGCATGGGCCTTCATTTATTGTAGTGTCTGAAAATGAACTGAGCTTACTGCATCAGCGGTGTTGTGTAAATGCCACGTGCTGTAAGTCTGTGACTGAGCACTATGATACATCGTAACACAGACATGGTCCCTGCACAGCTGTTGTAAAAGTAAATGTCTACACGAGTGGCAGTGACTACAAAGCACATAGGGTAGGCAGTAAATTACACTCCTGCGTGCTGTAAAATGATTTGTAAAACGCCTGGATTCATGAGTCCTTCAAGCTGGGTGCAGAGAGCACATCCCAAAGCACATTGATGCTGTCACTGTCACACGCTGCATCGCTCTGCCTGCCTGCTCTCCTCCTCGTCTTCCCTCCTGCCCTCAAATGACATTTCTCATGCCCTTTAGCCCGAGTTCGGCGGCTCCCCCAGGGGCATCGCGGAGCTGTCCGGGCAGCGCATCCCCCACTGCTGCCGCAGGGCACCCCGTCCCCCGTCCCCCCCCCCGCGGCGCGTTGGCTGCGACGGTGCCGAGTGCCTCTCACTGCCCGGCCAGCTCGGGTCTGAGCGTGTCGCGCCACGCCGCGATGGAGCTGCGGCTGCCGGGCGAGGAGGAGCAGGAGGAGGAGGAAGAGGAGGAGGAGAAGGAGGAGGAAGGCAGGGATTAGTGCGGAGCCGGCTGGTGCAGAGGCGCAGCTGAGCGCTCCGGCGGGAGCCCAGGACCCTGCGGCCCGTGCGGGAGGCAGGGGCGGGAGGAGCTGAGATGCGGCTGCTCCAGCCACGCCGCTAAAACTGCCGGTCACTCGCTCGCTCGCGGGAGGAGGAGGAAGGAGGGCGGTGAGCTCCTTCCTCCCCGCTGCGCCGCGGGGCGCGGGCAGGCCTTCCTCCAGCTCATCCCAGCCCTGAGCCGGAGCCGCCGCCGCCCCCTCTGCCTTCCTGCCCTCTTCCCACCATGAGCGGGGCCGTTTTCACCTCGTAAAGATGGCGGTGTGGGATCGCTGCAACCTTTAGACTAATGACTGTCAGAAACATCGCCTCCATCTGTAATATGGTGAGTGCCCGCGGGCGGGGCGGTGCGGCAGGCCTGCTGGGGCCGGCGGAGGGGGCTGCTCGAGGGCTCGGGGAGGGGGGGGCGGCGGGAAGCCGAGCAGGCTGCGCCGGGGAGCGGTCGAGGCCCGGCGGACCGTCCCGGGGGGGGGGGGAAGCGGAGGCACCGACGGGAGCGGGGCTGGCGCCGGCAAACGCACGTTGAAGAAGGAGCCGTAGCCGCCTGTCCTTCCTTCTTTCCGTCCTTCCTCTTCCTGCCCTAAGAACGCTGCTGAGGAACCCCGGAGTTCGGCTCTGAATGCATACCCGCTCAGTGAGCCCGCTAAATCCCTCCAGGCAGGCGCCCTACGGGCTCATGCGGCCAGCAGCCCCCGGGGAATGCACAGAACGGAGTGTTCTGGTGTAAGAGGCTTTAGTCCCGAGGCTGGGGACTGCTTTAGGAAGTCTCAGCTGTAGCTGCTGTCAGGGTTTTTCTCCTGCTGAGTGCCACCCAGAGATGACTGCTGCTTACTCTTTTAACACTTGGCTTTCTCTAACTCCCGCTGTGTAATTAGGAAGAAATAAGAAAATATTAATATTTTTGCTTTGCCATTCCCATCCCAGGAATAGTTGAAAAGACCTTTTCTTCACTGTGCCCAGGTCTGTTTGCAGTCCTGACTCTACTGACTCAGAGCATCTGGATCGGTTTGGATTTCTTAAACTTCTTGGTGGGGGAGAGCTTAAAGTACATCAGTTTAAGGTTTATTAATGAACTGAGAAAGTGGTACACCTGCCAAAGACACGAGCAAGTGCTAAGTACACCAGCGCAAACAGAAGAGAAGCCAATTGCTGCACATTTTGTTGGTTTAGTCTGTATTTTTTCCCCCTTATTTCCAGGTTCTTCAAGAGCAGCTCCACACAGTTGCCAACTTCCCTCCATGTGGTGTCCCAGCATGCCTTGTGCTGGCAATGCCACACATACCATTCAGCTGCCCTGGAGAACGGAGCCTGCCTCCGGGGTAAGGCAGCAGGCACAGCCCAGAGATCCGGCTCCTGTGGGTCAGCAAAGCTGGGGAGGGAGCGCGGGCTGTGAGCTGCTCCCTTCTGTGGCAATGGCAGCTTTCCACTGCTCTTAATACCTTCCAGTCCTGTGGGTCAGGGATACTGCAACAAGCACTGCATGAAGGGGAGCTGGAGGCTGTAAGATGGTTGTAAGGCTTTAGCATTGGCTTAAAGTTCTAGGAGCTCCATGATTTCTCTTGTGTGCTTCAGGCATGTGCTTGCATACAGCCTGCTTCTCCCAAAACCTGCATAGACAGAGCAAAGCTGCTGGGCTTATTCTAAAAATGTGCTGCTCAGCTGCTGCCATTAGATCTTGTGAAAGTGGCATGTCAGAAATGGAAGAGTTAAAGTCACACAAGAGCTCATAGTTCAAGCCAATTCTGACTCGTATCAGTGCTAAGACAGAGGGTGAAGTTGGTTTGACAGTAATGATGTTTGAAAGCTGTGTGTTCCTTAGGTTATACGTATGTGGTTTTATATACATTGTGTTACACTGGTCATATTCATTCTTCTGTGTGTAACCCATAGGATTATTAATTTATTTTAGGATATAAAAGCTGGGTTTCAGGAATCTGGGTCTTTAAGCTAAACATAAACTATTGAAAGTACCAGTAACACTCCATTATGGCTCCTCTGAAGATGATCCTGCCCAGATAAAGTGGTGAACTGTAAGAGGAGCTGGGACCTCTCTCCATAAGAATGGGACTTAGGAAGGTTAGAGTTACATGAGCAAACTTTTTGTTTGTATAAACTATTTTTGCTGTTGTAGATTGACAGAAGGCATGTGTAGAAATCTATCAAAGATCTATATTACCCAATCTTGTTCCTTCAGTATAACACAGTGCTTGAAGAACTGAGCCACTCACAGTCTGTGGCTAAGAAATAGGCAATACAAGTATAGTGAAGCAAAGCAAGCCAGGGACAGTTTTTAACTTGCTTGCAAAGGAGATTCAGTACTGTAGATCTGCTGGATTAACTCCCATATGCTGAGGGAAACACAGTAGGAACACAGTGAGAAAAACAGGTTTACCCCTTCCACTTGACATATGTATTTGTTGCATATATTGCAATGCATAACTTAAAATTACTTCGTTGTCTTTTCCCAGTTTGCCTCTCCCCCCACCCTCCCCCTGGTTATAATTACAATAGCATTAGTTATTCACTGACTTGGTTAACAAAGCCGTCTTTTGCTGAGGCTAGAGGGTGATGAATGCCCCTCTACCTGAAGGAATTGGTGACACTCCTGAGTGGGCACAGTGGCCATTCGATGAGATGGAGATCCAGCTCCCAAAAAGCTCCTCTTACTGCCTTGCAGATGCTGGAAAGTCATCTACGAGGTCTGTATACTGGTGGCCACATCAGGAGGTCTGCAATGGGCAATTACCAGCTTTTGGGTCGGGCAGATGCAGTAGAAGTGAAGAAGCATGAGATAAGTTGAGGAAACTCTTAGAAGGAATATCAGCACTCTGTGCCATGTCAGCCTTGTAGTTTCTAGACATGAACTAGAGGTGTGTTGTAATCCTCATTGGTATCATTTTTGTGAGACATTCCAGACAACTCAATACAGAATGCTGGTTCAAAGGCAAAGAGGCATGCTGTCATTTCAAGATTGCTGCTCACTAAAAACCCCTGCAGTATGTTTCTGTGTTTATGAGATTTTGATGCAGCCTTGAGTTCATGCAGCAGCCGTGGCCTGGGCAATATTACTGTTATATGCAGCAGACAGCATCTAACCATTTCAGAATGTATTGACATATTTTTGCAAAGATGGCTAGCAAGATCTGTGGGCCATGTTTTCCTAAATACCTTTTAGAGTTCTGCCGAAAAGAGATATTAGTTTCCCCTTTCATAATTTCATAAGAGTATTTCAAATAATCTGATCTGCACTTCAGCATGCCCTGCCAAATTGATGAGCAGTACGTTTTGAACACACTCGGATGGCTTCTGACACAAAATATCTTTTAGAATACCTCACAGTTGCTCTCAGTAAATGTTATATAGGTATTCTTTTTAAAAAATGCTGTGGTTTGATAAAGAAAAATAAACTGCTACATCTGAAAATATTAATATAGGCAGTTCAAGCAATACAATTTTAGAAGAGTGTGGCATTTCAGCATGACCTACAGGAAATCAGAAAAGAAAGATGACAAATATAGGGAATGTGAAGTCTAATTACTGTAGCATCTTTATGAAGTAAAGAAAAACTTGAGAGTATGGCTGGCAAACGGGCACTAGAATGACAAACAGAAAGTGTTCTTTTCATCAGAATTCCAGGAAAGATACTTGTAGTATTAGAGGATATACGATGGTGGGAAATGTCCTAATATAGTGACAGAGACTGCCTTGCGTGCATACTGCTTTTATGACAAAAGTGGTCATCAAATACTTCCCAGTTATTTAGAAAATTATAAGCACACTTGGACAATTCATAACAATTCATGTTTTACCGTGTAATATTTTATTTTTGTTGCGTATAGTCATTGGCTTCTAGTTGCTGAATTAAGAGCAAAACAGTGGTTATGCTAAATACTTTAGAAAAGGAACCTCTTAGTTACAGTTCATTAAGGCTGAGTGAGTCTGAATTGTGGAAAAGGTGGATTAAAAAGCAACTCTGGGCTCTGATGAAGTATGTGTGGCAGGTAAGTAACACTTGGGAGGTGAGATTCTGGTGGGCTTGAAAAGACACCAGTCTATGGATTGTAAACTATGGCCAATTAGAGAAGCAGTCAGCAAAATCTCCTCTGCCTCGTGAATCTGTCCTTGGTTGGCTGTTTGCTAAATACACTTCTGTACATTTGTGTACACCCAACTCCACAGTGTATGAGTGCTTCTGGAGAGCCTTGTGTCTGTTATAACAAAGCTCTGTTATAAGCCTTCTCTTGGACATGCTTAGACTTTGCAGAGAAGGGTGCTGTGCTGATGTTTTCAGGCCAGCTTGAATTCTGGATATTGCTCTGATTATTTCATTTGATTTCACTACTGATCACTTAATAATATGTGCCTCTGAACTGCCATAAAACCACAACATCCCTGACCATTCATTGAAATTTCATGTGATAAACCTGTATTGTTTCTGACCTATGTCTGTCTAACCTGAAGACTTGTGGTGACAGTGACTATTTCACATCTCTAGGCAATCCATCCCAATGATTCAGTGTCCTTATGGCTAGAACACTCCCTAATGTCTTATCTGAATTTACCATAATTTGAGCTTCCCACTTCTTCTCATGTCCACTCTTGAGACCAAGAACAGACTGATTCCCTTCTGTAATAAATGTTACGTGCTTTAAAGTATTCTCATGTGCTGTCTCAGTCTCTTCTATCTTATACATGACCCCGTTCAGCCCTTTTTACAAGTCATTTTCCTCTAGGGTTTTTTGTTTTTATTTCCTTCCTTTGGACTCTCTCCGGCTGTGTTTGTATTTCTTGAAGCCTAGCACCCAAACCTGGCCACAAGGTCCTGTGTGAAGTCTTCCTGGTGACAAATTTAAACTGGAAAGTCATTTTAAGAACTTTTTAGGCCTCTGTCTGTAAGAATTTCTTTGTGTTGTCTTTTTTAAAAAGTGCAGCATCATTAATTTATTCATCTGAATAATATGCTAGAGTCTCTTAGACAGTGCTGTTTGTTTGTTTTCAGGAACAATTAGCTTAGCTCTCTTTCATTCTGCATATATGCAGGTGATTCATGTCTTCCTGTACAAAATGTTGTACTTGCCTTAGATGAATTTCAACCATTTTCAGAGCATTTCTCTAATGGGTCAAAAAATCATTTTGAATTCTAAGCCTGTCCTCCAGTATATCTGCAGCCTTTGTAATTCATGTTATAATGAGATTTAATGAAGATATTTAATCTTCTGTCCTCTATGTTAACAAAGCTGGGGCAGCTGTGATGAAGTCTAGAAGAAGCCTTACCCTAAAGACGCACTGAGACACGATGAGTGTCATCACTATGGCCCACACAAAAGTGCTGCTGAGGAAATTACAGGCTGTGAACAAACCTCAGTTTCTTTCTCATTTGTGAGGCCATACTGGGTTTATTTGTTCTGCAGAGTAAATGGGAGAGGGAAAAAAAATATTGCTATTTGTGCCAGGAAAAAGACCAAGTGCCACTAATCCAAGAACAAATAAACTAAGAATGGAGATGGATTTGTAAAAGAATACTGAACTGCAGTTTGGTAAATGTTGCCTAATTATGGAAACTTTGAAGGTCAATACGTAAAAACAAAATTACTTTTGGATTTAAATATTTAAATGTGGAACTTGTAGGTCTTCACTAGAACCTTGCATCCCATACTTGTCCTTTAAGGCGTATAAGGCAGAGTACCTTGAAAATCTTGGACAGAATAGCCAAGTGATTCAGGATTTTAGGCTTCAAGGCTTTTTTTTTTCCTGTTTCTTGGCAACAATGCAATGAAAGAGCTGAAGTTATTGATGGTGTATATAATGTGTACATCCATGTTTGGAGACAGTTCAGCGCATCCAGTGGGGAAAAAAAAAAAGAGTCAGGCATCTGAAGCTTGTATAATTTGTCGTTGTGGTCAGAAAACTCTAAGGAAAATATGTAAAATTATTATTTTAAATCATCCTTCTTCCAAAAAGTATGATCACATACTCACTTTTAGGTCTGTCAGTATCCTCTTGCTATTTACTATGATCCCCTCTGTTTTTCATGGCACCTTCTCTTTCCTCTTTTATCTCTTGGCAACAAGAACTTAAAATAGCTGTTCTGGTGGAACAATAAAACATTTATTTGCTGGAAAAAAAAGATGCTAATCTGGCTGAATTAAACAATTTTTTGTTACTTTAGAAATTACAAAGATGTTTCAGTTTTGACATTTCATATATATGAATTTTGAAGGAGGTGTGTTCAGGTATTCCAATTTCTCTTTGGAAGTAAAGGTTGACCCCAAGGGAAGTCAAGGTCCTACGGTGAGTGTACGCGATATATCTGTTGAGGACCGTTGTGTAAATACTGCCCAGTATGATCTCCCTCACTCTTCTCTTACTCTATTGGTGTTGCTTCTGGAAAACAGGTTTGGATTTTCTTTACCATTACTTGCTCTCTTTCCAGTTATTTGTCACAGCCATTTGCTGGTCAGGGGGCTTCTACATCTTTTTTACCTTTCTTTTCCCTCCCATTCCATACACTATGCCTTCCAAAACTGTGAAACTCAGGCTGCCTGGCCCTAAAGTCATATCTATTTTGTTCCAATTTCTCTTCTACCAGTTCCAGCATCACCCTTTGTTTAAGTTTTCAGTTTCTTCCTCCTGGAAACAACACTATTTCTAGCACATAGCTTTTCACTTCACTCGAATACTAAAAGAATATCTAGTTTGCAGCTGTGTATGTGATCTGAAGCCCTTCTTTGCCATCTTTTGTTGATCTATTTTTCTTTATGTATTTGTTAAATATCTGTTTTCGCTATTCAACTTTTGTCTTCTTTTGCTTAGATTTTCTTGTGAACAAAGTATTTATTGTTTCTTACTTTGTGTTTTCTGGTTTGATGGTAATTCATATTGTGTTTCTGTTTCATTGAGAAAATAGCTATGCAATAGGTTTTCCACAGTTGACTTAAGTTTCCAATTTCTTTACTGCACTCCTTTTCTTTAAATTAAGCACATATGTATTCCTAGAAATTTAGTGACATATTTATAGCTCTGTCAGAATGCAAAATTAAGTTTGATTTGCTGTATTGTGTTAGCAGCATCTTTCATTTTGGCACTGTTTCATTTCTCATCTTCCATAGAACAATTTTATTTGGTTATTTTGCTTTGTATGACTTAATGATCTAATGCAATGTGGGTTTTTTCATTGTTTTCTTTTCCCTACACTGTTCTTTTGTATTTATTCTTAAGTCCAAAGGAACAGGAGGTTTTGTTTGTTTGTTTTTATTTTACTTAAAAAACTTTCATATGATGATAGGTACAAATTAAACTTTTATCACAGAGTCACAGGGGTTGGAAGGGACCTCTGGAGATCATCCAGTCCAACCCCCTATAGCAGGTCACACAGAAAAGCATCCAGGTGGGTTTTGAATATCTTCAGAGAAGGATACTCCATTAGAGGAGTATTCATTAGAAGGATAACCATTCTGGGCAATCTGTTCCTGTAAAAGTAAATATTTTCCTCATGTTCTCATGGAACTTTCTGTGTTCCACTTTGTGCCCACTGCCTATTGTCCAGTCGCTGAGCAACAGCAGAAGAGCCTGGTCGCATCCATTTGATACCCACCCTTGAGTGTTTGAGCAATTGTACACTTGTAAAAGTGACCAAAGTGATTTCTGTGCCTGGGGACAAGGATAATCATGCTTAAAACCCAATGTAAGTAGTCATGGTTGAACACTGCTATAGGTGAACAACACACACACACATTTAACACGTCTCTAATAAGACTTTTTCTAGCTTTAGCCTGGTTTGGATGTACAGTTTGTGGTTTATTTGGGTTAGAATATTTCCAACCATTCCTTGTGTCATATCAATCACTTTTGAAGAGCTTTTGTATGTCAAACGTGTAACACTCATTGAACAGATCTATGATGAGCTGTTGGAAACTCCATAGCAGTGTATAGATTTTGCATGAAGATAAGTTAGTGCGCATCATGGATTTGTTTGTTTTTCGGTGATAATTACTTGGCAAATCCTAGGTCTTGCTGTTTCTCTCAGTGTGTTCAAGATAATTTAAATGTTGAAAAAGATTTGTCAGAACCATCTGGCATCCTCTGAAGTAAGAAACCTGGGCCTGGGGAAAAAGAGGTAACAGAGGAGCAATTAGTTAGCCAAGCACTTATATTCTGCTAACATATACACTATACGTATATGTACACACTAATGCACGTTCTGTAAAAGAGTGGGAGGTCACTTTTGAGAGGCATTATTTCCTGCAAGTTCTAGAGGGAGAATTTTTTCCGGCATGGAAAAATCTTCCTGCAGAAATGAAAAAACAAAAACAAAACCAACCCATATCCAATTTCAGTCTTAATTTAGAGAACTTAATTTGAATGCTGAATGTATAATTGAAGAAAACCTATGCATTGGTTTGAATGCTGTGCTGTGAAGTCTGTATGAGGATGGTTTTCTTCAGAAGTTGCATTGATCTTCTGTATTTGAATTGTCTTCTATAAGCCAAGGCGTTGATTAAACCAGCAGCTGTTTGCTTTGCTGTTAGTATCAGATAGGCAACTGCCTATCATTTTCCTCCCTCATGGGAACTCAGATGCTTTGCTGAATGTAGCATTTTTGGCAAGGCTGCCTCTCCAAGCAAAAAAACCTGATCCTCATATAGAACTTACGTAATTATCACACTGTCATATCAGTTGACACACAGCCAGCAATGGCTTTGTACTGATCCTTTCTTCTCTGAGTTTCTCACTGAGGCTTAGTAGAGCCCTCCAAGGGCATACAACATATTTCTTAATCTTTTCATGGAGCCTTGTGCAAATGAATTACCTAGTCTCAAAGGGAAATCCTCTACATCTGGTCTAAGAAATAATCTCTGTGCTTGTAAGAGAAAGGAAGAGACTGGAAAGAGATTTGGTAAGGGTTTATGAAACACAGAAGCTTTGGCAGCTTCCAGAAAAGGTCCAACTTGAAGGAGCTTCTTTACTTTCAAGGCTTATAGGTTGTTAAAGAGCACCAGTGCCGGGTTTCACACCATTTCCGTTGAGTAAAATCATCTTCTTTTAATGGACTGACATGAAAAAATAATCTAATAGAGCAAGCAATGTTGATATTAGGTGGAGGAAGGAAATAAAAGTCGGATGTTGAGAAGAAAAAACAGAATTACTGAATCTGATTAACACTAAATTTAAAAATTTTAACTGATGAGCTCTCCAAGCCATTATTGAACAAACCTCAGGAACACAGGTCATTTCAGAGCACTAGGAAGAAACGCTGCATGTAAATTTTTTTTTTTTTACTCTATTTGAATAGAGTCGGCATGGACTTGTGTAAATGCAACCTGATGTCAATCTCAGAAAAAAAAAAAAACAAACAAAATACAAATATGAGTATGGGAGGCAGCTGGTAAAAAGCAAAAAGATAATGAAGTTTTACATGTTAGCATCTTTGTGGTGGCAGTTTATATGTTGTAATGAAAGTCAGCCAACTGTGCCATTCTTATGTGACAGAAACTACAAAGGCTTAGTGTATTAATACTGCATACTGCAGATTAAATTCGGTAAGAAAATGACTCTCTGATGTCAGTAAAACAATTATCAGACAGATTGAGAACTGGCTAACCAATAGATCTTGAATAACTGTACATAGAGAATACTTCTCCAAGTACAGCATTTTTACTGATGTCCTTCGGAGATCATAAAATTGCTCAGGTTGAAAAAGACCTCAAAGATCATCAAGTCCAACCTCAACTTAACCATACTACCCTAACTCTAACAACCCTCTGCTAAATTATGTCCCTGAGCATCACATCCAAATGGTTTTTGAACACATCCAGGGATGGTAACTCAACCACCTCCCTGTGGAGCCAATTCCAGTGCTTAACAACTTTTTCTGTAACTAAGTTTTTCCTGATATCCAACCTAAACTTATCTTGGTGCAGCTTAAGGCCATTTCCCCTTGTCCTGTCACCTGTCACCAGTGAGAAGAGACCAACCCTGCTCTCACTGTAAGCACCTTGCAGGTACTGGAAGAGAGCAATGATGTCTCCCCTCAGCCTCCTCCTGTCCAGACTGATCTGTACGTTTACACAGTAGCAAGGAGTGACAGCACTGGCAGCAATGAGGCCTGTTAGCTCAGTGATCTAAGCTTGTTAAAAATAAGCATTTTCATACAGTCAAGCTACAGGTAATGTACAAAGAAGTCGTGAGTGTACTTTACAAACCAGTAGCTGTGAAAGCGACTTTACTGTTGAAATGAAGACACAGCTGAACATAATTTGAGGCACTGACCAAGAAGCAAGGCAGTGCTTGGACTTATGCACCTTTCAACATTAGAACAAAGTACCACATGTATTATGCTTACTTTTAACTTCTGTGCTGCTCTTATTAGAACAAGGTGCTGTTCTGGATCTCAGGTTTTGTTAAAGGCCTCTGACAAATTAGAAGGGATGCAGAAGAGTTTCAGTAATGCTTAGAAAACCTGCTCAACATCTAGAGGTCAAGTATCTTTATGAAACAAGAGCATAATGGGATCCAGCTGCTTAAGTATGAAGTATGAAATAAGGGAGAGGCGTGTGGGGGGAGAACCACTGTTGTTGTGACCTGTTCACTTCAAGTCAGCCATCATCAGAGCACCCAGGTCAGGCTAGCTTCACTACCTACAACTGCAAATATTTGTGTTGGCTCGGGTGACTGTTGTGCTTGGCCATTAGAAGAGCAGAGTTAGCTTGGCTAATTGTAACTGAAAGGAAAAAGTGCATTTCTATCTTAATGTCCATGACTTTATTTTGGAATTTTAGTAGTTTACATTAATTCTTCGCTCTTTCCTTAGGGCACCAATGCCTCTGCTCTGGAAAAAGACATTGGCCCAGAGCAGTTTCCCATCAATGAGCACTACTTTGGATTGGTCAATGTAAGTACCATTTTCAATGGACAAATCCTATATAGAACTATGCTTTTTTGAGTTTTACTTATTTTTTTCATCCCAATGCTGCTCTAAGGCACGATTGCCTTGTTTTTAAAAAGTGCTGTGCACGTTCCAGTTTTAGGCAGAATGGGCTGCAGAATTGTTTAAAATGTTTTGAAGATAACTTCATACTCCCCAGAGAAAACAGTTTAGTGTTCTATGGGCGTTTCCAGTGGTTAGAGCTTAAATTGATAAAGTCAATTTTACCTATAAAATATGAGGGACAGTCTCTTTAATTTTTGTAGAAAGTGATGGAGTTGTATAAAAGTTATATAAATATATTCCTACAGCAGCTGCCTAGCAAAATGGCTGTGTCACAGAAGACAGATGTTGAGTAGTTTCTTGTGATACACAAAGATTAAGATTGTTTTTGCTTTTACATGGCAGTTTGGGAACACCTGCTACTGTAACTCCGTGCTGCAGGCACTGTACTTTTGCCGTCCATTTCGGGAAAATGTTTTATCATACAAGGCCCAACAGAAAAAGAAGGAAAACCTCTTGACTTGCCTGGCAGATCTTTTTCACAGTATTGCTACTCAGAAGAAGAAAGTTGGAGTTATTCCACCAAAGAAGTTCATATCAAGGTTGCGAAAAGAGAATGGTAAGTATGAAACTGGAATTCTCTTAGATATCTGTAAGCTGATCAGGGAAATCTAAACATTGAGCAATGTGGTCATATTAGTCAGATGTTAGGTTAAGTCTGTAAATAACTTTTAGCATTTTTTGGTTTTAGATACTAATATTGTAGTATCTGTTATGCAGTCCTATGCTTGAAATTGCTATGCCAGATTTCCTGAGTTCTCAGAGGTGATGATTCAGTGCATGGTACGACAGACCACACTGAGCAGTGAGTTAGAGCTGGGGAGAAGGTGCCATTCTGCCTCAGGTTTTTTCTTACTTTTAATGTAGCATGGCAGAGAGAAATGCTGAGGGCAGCTGGCATTACTGAAGCAGTGTGGCCTATTAGGGCTACAGGCATTACAAGCCCAAAATACCTTGGGAGGGCAGGAAACTGTGTTTTGGAGTTGTTCAGTGGACTGCACGTCAACCACTGCTGCTGTTCTTAGGAGCAGTGGGTGCAGTCTGACACTGAGAAGCATCAGGCCCTTTTTGAGCACCACACTGGCAACAGCATATGCCTGGTCTTTTAGTGTTTCTTCCCAAGGGATGGGGGGAATGTCTTGAAGTAAGGAAGCCTGCCATACAGTTCCTTTTCAACCTGGATTCGTATCAGTGTGGGTGTTGTACTTGGAAACAAGGGAGCTTTGAATGAAGAGAAGAAAGAATTGTGAGTTAACACCTGGGAGAAATTGCCTCCTGGTGACAGCATGTAAATGGGCAGACTGTCCATTGCAAAGCAGGCATTGTAAACACTGACAAAGTCAGCTCCAAGTCATCTTAGTGATAAATGCCCCTACTCTGCTGGGATCACCTTTTGGGACCTGGTCTTATGTTTTCAACTTTTTCAAATTAGGGACAGATTTGGAATATATTAATGTGCTTCTGTGTTCAGGCTAGCTGCTTCAAAGCTATTGACTGTACAATATTTTTGAGGAAATCCATGTGGGCTTTTTCCAGGAGCAGAGGGATAAAATCACACATTTCTTGGGAACGCAAATTATTTTTCTTTAATGTTTTGGGTAAGTTAAGCCTTCACTAGGGAAGAAGCCTGTTTTTCATCACCACTGAGGTAGTCTCTGCTCCAGAAAGCATTTTATATGAAAGAGAAGTCTGTACTCATCTTGTGTGTGAAAAATAAGCTTTGTTAGATTATGTTGCTATTATTATTATTATTATTATTATTATTATTATTATTATTACTTAGGACCAGAGGGAATGGCTTCAAGCTACGGCAGGGGAGATTCAGGCTGGACATTAGGAAGTATTACTTTTCAGAAAGGGTGGTCAGGCACTGGAATGGACTGCCCAGGGAGGTGGTGGAATCACCGACCCTGGGGGTGTTCAAGGAAAGGCTGGATGTTGTGTTGAGGGACATGGTTTAGTGGGAGCTACTGGGAATAGGTGAACGGTTGGACTGGATGATCTTGAAGGTCTTTTCCAACCTTGGTGATTCTATGATTCTATTATGTTTGCATCCAGCATCTTCGTTTTCCCCAGCCAAGGGTTGTACTGTCCAAACTCAGTGATGTGGAATGTATGGGTGGGAATCAGTCTGATGTTAAGCAATGGGTGTAAGCAATTAATGTAAGTTCCTTCTGTAGTCACCAGTTTTCTTGTACAGTGGGCACAGATAGTTGGCTGCACTGAGGACCACCCTCTTGCTTTCTTCACTGACTGTAGTAGAAGCCTACACAGCTAATTCCAAATACAACCCCACTCTTTTAGACACGCTAAAGTTATGTGAGTTGAAGTCTTCCCTCAAGGTAGCTTCTCTGAAAGCCAGTGTACTTTTCTTTGGCATGATTGTAAGTAGTTTGCTGAGCAAGGACCAATACATGTCTTTGGAAGACAATGACTTTAGTTTGATTTCTTGAAATAAAAGATATACTCAGCTTTAGAAATCTTGACTCTCTTCTTCACAGATCTATTTGACAACTACATGCAGCAGGATGCACATGAGTTTTTGAATTACTTGCTGAATACAATCGCCGACATTTTACAGGAGGAGAAGAAACAGGAAAAGCAAAATGGGAAATTGAAAAATGGCAACATGAACGAAGCTGAAGAGAACAATAAGCAAGAACTCACCTGGGTGCATGAGATTTTTCAGGGAACACTGACTAACGAAACTAGATGTTTGAACTGTGAAACCGTAAGCATTGGGATAGATCTTTTTTTTTTTTTGGTTGTTGCCCTTTAATAGATAGATATGTTTTATATGTATAAACATATGAATCTTTTCAGACATCTGAGAATTGTGGATATTCCTGTAGACTTTACTTCTTGAAGTGAGTATATTCTTTTCTAAAAATTTATTTTTCTAGGTGTTTCTTGGCTAGCCTTTGCCAAGTCTGGCTGTCATAGCATGTACCTCTACACTTAGAACCCTTGCTAGTTAATCAGTATCCTTCTCTATTACTGTAATTTCAGGAGAAGGTATTTGCATTGTTATTCCAAGAACCAGAGGAAAGATAAGATGGATTTGCATTAATTTATGTCGAAGAATGTGACTGCCAAAGGATTTGTTATTAACAAACCATACGTGTTCTTTTGTCTTCTGAAATATTCTTAAAAGAATGGTGGAAGTCTCTTTATTTGAAGTCTCAGTAAAGCACAGCATAGTTTGCAAATCTTACCTAACTTTTGCTTTGTGTCAAGGATGAACTAGTTTTCTCAGCACTTTCTATAGCCGATAGAATTTGCAAAGGACCTTCTTCACGAATCTCTCTCCATCTGTCTCCAGGTTGTTCTGTGAGATGGAAGTCTGAGCAATATCAGGTATTCCATCTACACAGTACAGCTTGTTCTCATTCCAGTCCTTGCACTGAGTTGTTGCAATTGTTTGTGCAGCAGTGTTGTGAATTGGGCCAACGAACTGATCTCTCCTAAGAATGATGTTTCCAACTCAAACCAATATTGCTACTTTGGAACTTGTCTATAGAAAACACAGCTTTAGATTACTTGCAGGTCTAACTCTAGGCAGCCGAATTTAGGTGAGATAAAAGTCTAGAAGAACATATTCTGATATTCTTTAATGATAACTCTACTCCAAGTAAAAGACTCCTTGGGAGCTTGTGTTCAGGGACAGGGCAGAGTGATAAAGTGACAATCAGCTTGAGAAATGGGGTGGACCGAATCTGGAACAAGACTGTTAAAGAGAAAATGTGAGAGGTAGAAATTGAAAATTAATTCTTTAGTATATTTCAGTTATGACAGCTCACATAGTAATAGCACGATAAAAAAAGTGGAAGGATAGGATTCTTTTTGACAGACAAGCTTCTTTAAACAGTTGTGGCCTGTTTAAAGAAGCCTAACATAGGCCTAACGCTCTAAGTTTGCTCAGTCAAATTGTAATGAAGTCAGGATGTGTCCCCGAGTAAGAGCAAAACCGCACAACACCAGTATGTAATTCAAAGTGATCAAGCTGTACGGAAAAAAACAGCACTATGTGCTGCTGCTGTAGAAAGGCACTGCAGCTTCCTGTGAATGCAGAAATATGGTGCTCTGTACAGTATAATTCTACAGTTGTTTATGTTTTTTCTTTTATTACTGTACCTTGAAATCTTTGGAAAATGAAATGGATTAAAAGGTAACACTTTGCTAAAATGTGAATGTATCGTGCATGAGGAATCGTGCAGATTCCAGTAGTTATTCTCACAAAGAGGGCAGTCTGAATCTGTGTTTCCAGTGACCTCTAGTTATAACTGTATTATTCTAGCTTGATTGGACTCATCTCCCCGTTTGAGCAATATGTTATGTGCTGAAGTCAATATCAGGATTCCTAACTGCTTAGTGATATTTAGATGAAATGCTCTATTTGCCAAAGACTTTTCCAAGTATTTAACCTCCCTCTTGATGTGCTGTGTGCCTGAAAGAACTCTACTTCCAGCAGCAGAGACACAATGTTCTCTGAGGTTTTGTTGCTCTATTTTTGAATTCTATACATGTGTTTACACTGCAGTTGATTGCTGCCAGTTTTGTGGTTTCCTGTGCTCTTTGGATAGAATCATATCTCAGAGAGGATTTTTGCTTGAAGAACTGCTGTTCATTTTATTTAAATGTACTTTATGCCTCTGTACATCCTTGGTAATATCAAAATTCATCCTGCTAAAGGTGTTCCTCTGGGTTCAAGGTTGATTTGGATTGCATTCACCATGTTTATAGGATGATATAATATGAAGATGAGCTCAGAGCAGTACGTAATTTCCAGACCCACAGGCCTGCATGAGTTTGAGCATAGAAATTTGAGCATGAGTGTCCGGAGTCAGAACAGCAGATGGAACCCCTTGCTGAAGTTCTGGATTTGAACTTTGCAATCCTGTCAGATTAAGTTATTCTAAAGAAATGCATTCACAGAAAGCAAGATATGGAGTGTTTGTGCAACATTTACAATCAGAATTGGTTGTTACAAATATGACTAAATTCATTTGTAGTAATCCTGCTACAGTCTTAGTTTAATCTCATCCGAAAAATAACCATGTTGGTTTTTCTAGGTGTTCAAGGCCTTAAAAACTAGTTAATGGATGAGCAGAAAATCACTAGATTTTGGGATTTAATTGGTTACCCTGTCCTAATTTTAATTTAATTTACAAAAACGTTTATTAAGATGCTGAGTAAGATGTGTTGTTCTTTATGATCTGAGATGACTCAAAATGGGGTCACCTTTTACAGATCTGTTTGTCTACCATTCCTGAGAGAGTCCTCATTAATATTTATTGCAGAGAGGTTCCAAATGTGACCAAAGTTTAGAACATCTTTGAATTTTGGAGAAGCTTGAGCTCAGAGTTCCCAACTACCTCAGGGAGTTGCTAAACTACACCTATTATGAATATTAATATATTATATATTGATATATTATATATTTATGTGATATATATATATATATGATATATCATTGATATATATATTGAAGATTTTCCTTATTTTGAATCTCAAAGCTGATACAAAAGATGAAGGACCATTAATGAGATGACCTGTAGGATACATGAGTGGCATTTAAAAATCATATTTCCGGTCTGCAAAGAAATATTGAAATTCCATGATTTTCCATGAAAAGAATTCTGGAGAAAAATGTTTTGGCTCAGCTGAAGTACAATAATTATCTGTTGTAGAAGATAAATATATGTATACACATATAATTCAATCTCCTTCAAGATTAAACATTTTAGGTGAAAAGTCATTTTCAAGCAAAGCCAGGATCTATCACTCTGAAAATGTTCGAAAGACTACTTTTTAGAAAAAAATACTTTTATCAGACTTTTTCTCATCTTCTTCCACCTAAAAAAAAAAACCACATTGGTGAAATCACAGTGATTTTACAAAATATTGCCACTTTGCCATTTTTTCCTCCAACCTCTCATTCAGTCTTGTTAAAATTATTCATCAACAGTAATATTCCATGGGGAAATGTAGGTGTGCCAACAAGAGACACAAAGCCAAGCTTTTAAATTTTCACTGGAGAAAAAATATAAAGCATTTGAATATGACATTTCTCAATGAATGCCTGCATGGAAATTATTTTCACTGTATCCTTAATAGTGGAAATAATCATGTAGGGCGTAAACTGAGATTACACAATTTATACACAGATAAAATTCCAGTATAATAAGGAGCTGGGCTGTATTTTGTAACAATAGAACATATGTACTACACCAACCAGAGCCTAATGTACAGGATGATGCTCCCTGTTTAGTGGATAGCAAAGTGCCGTCATCAGTCTGTGGTCAGTGGGTTTGGATAATTGGAGTAGACAGAAGTTGGAAACTGGGTTGGCCTGGTTGCTTAATTGGCAGAATGAATATGGTCATGCTGATCTAGGAAAAAAACAAACAAAAAACAACAACAAAGAAAAGCCAATTGAAATAAATACTTTGTGTAATTTATTTTGAGAAATTGTTCCATCTTATAGCATTTGCCCATAGATACATACAGCATTTTGATGCATGATGTTTTACTAAATCTGCTTTACGTGTATATTTTTTGCTACAGGTTAGTAGTAAAGATGAAGATTTTCTTGACCTTTCTGTTGATGTGGAGCAGAACACATCAATTACACACTGTCTAAGGTAAATGAATGCATCCCTTTGATGAATGTTTCTATCAGATTTTGTTATATTTTCCAAATCTACTAGATGCAAAAAAGAGAAATGGAATAGGATTGTGTTTTGAGCTTTTCCTAAGCAGAAAATTACTATAAACTGGGTTCTTCCTCTAGTGACAAAATACACACTAATGGATTTTGTTTTTCTCTTGTTTTCAATGTATGTGTTTGAAAGAGAAAAAACAATTTCTCTCTTGGGGAAAAATTGATTGCACTGTCATCTTGAAGAATTGCTGTAGAATAATAATTGGTTTCAAAGAGATTTGTGTGTGCTTATCTTTAAGCTTTTAGTCAAGTGCTTTGTTGATTAGGATTTATGTGCATATTAAAAGTCATGTGTGTGCTTTGTAGAGCACTAGAGTCCTTAGAGGGCAAAAGATTTCAGAAGTCTTCTGTTGTGCCATGTAAGTTTCTTACTACACATCTTATCAAATTATAATGAGAAGTTTTTAAGTCAGTTCCGCTCTTATTTCATGCCTAATTATTAAACAAATCCTTCAGATTTTCAGATCCTACACTGATATCTTGGCAGCCTCTTGACATGTAAGAGATGAGGATATAGGTCCCATTTAGAGATAGCTGAGTCCTTCCCTCCCCTACGAAGGCCAGGTTGGATGGGGCCTGATCAGCCTACTATTAAATGGGGAGGTTGCTGGCCCTGCCTGTGGCACGGGGATTGGAGATTCATGATCCTTGAGGTCCCTTCCAATCCAGACCATTCTGTGATTCCCTGTATTGCACAGAGGGTCTCAGCACCTAATACAAAGCTGTCACTACAGCCAGGTACTGTAAGTCCCTTGCAAATTCCAGTACAGTTTCTTCGGGTGTTTTAGAAAACTGGATTTCAGCAGTAATAAGCTTTCATCCCGTGTGTCTTTTTAGGATTCCAGTTCCACAGTCCAAGCGTGGCACTGGGTCAAAAGCATTAAGAACTTTGAAGAACTGATAATTGTATTTACTTACAGAGACTTCAGTAACACAGAGACATTATGTAGTGAGCAGAAATACTACTGTGAAACCTGCTGCAGTAAACAAGAGGCACAGAAAAGGTAAGTAAAGAGCAGGGTGGTTTCAATATGTTACTCCTGGACTTTGACAAACCTTCTCTTTAACATTTATTGTGTTTGTAGAACTTGCACCCCATATACACGCTCTGTGTGGCCCAGAGAACTTGCAGACAGATTCAAAGCTATTGTACTTGTTAGTGTAGAAGCTACTGCTAGTATACTATTGTTACTTACAAGGTCCTTTTCTAATGCAAACATTTAATCATTAAGGAAAGAGTGGCTTTGAACTGGACAGGTCTTTACCATGTGTATTCTTATGGTGTCACAGGATGCGAGTAAAAAAGTTGCCAATGATTCTTGCCTTACATCTCAAGAGATTCAAGTACATGGAGCAATTGCACAGGTATACTAAGCTGTCTTATCGTGTTGTATTTCCCCTGGAATTACGTCTCTTCAACACGTCTGGCGATGCTGTCAACTTAGACCGGATGTATGACTTAGTAGCTGTTGTCGTTCACTGTGGAAGGTAAGACTCCCTCACGTTGATCATCTCAAACTATTACAGGTTCCAGGCATTTGTCAAGGGTGAGGCTTGCCTGGCAAAATAGAGGGAGAGTGGAAGAGGGGACATAAGCTGTACTGCTGCTCCAGCTTGAGTTTATCTTGGCCAGAAGCTCTTAGCCACCTTTCCTCATAGTAATCTGTACCTCTGTGAAAAATAGCACTTCAGGCACCCAAAAGTCAACAGATTGAAATCGTGTGAAAGGAAGAAGAAAGATGTCTCTTTCCTCATCACTTGGAGAACTTGGAGACAGGACTCTGTGAGGGCCATGGGCTGTTAGCAGGTAGACTCTGCAGCAGGTCAGCCAGTTCCTGTCAGGACAATGAAAATGATAGCTTTATTAAAGCTTCTCAGAAGTGAAGCATCGTTAGACATGAAACAAACAGATAAACCTTTGGGGTTGGAGAAATGTCTTGTTCTCCCTTAATCTCAAAAACCATAAATAAGTTACTATTCATGGCTCGTATTTTCAAAATATTTCCCCTTAAAATTACTTCATGTTGTTTTAAAAATATTTGCCATAGTTGATGCCAGATATGAGGAAATTGTTAAGTACTGTATAGATCAATTTGCAGATGGTCATAACACAAATCAAAACAATACATTACAAATTTAGTTGACTAGGTCATTGCAACGGGGCAGACAAAAAATAGAACATATATACTGTACTGCTAGAGATAGGTTTACTGTATTCTTCTTAGCATGTAACTATGATTTCACCTGCTCTTATATAGACAAGCTACTTATCAAAATGGACCTAATAGTACTTTCTAGTGTTACATTGGGTTTTGAGATTTTTCTTCATTTTCTTTTTCAGTGGACCGAATCGTGGGCATTATATTACTATTGTGAAAAGTCATGGATTTTGGCTCTTGTTTGATGATGACATTGTAGAGGTCAGTATGCTGAAGCCCATGAGCACAACATTTGTGCTCTCTTCTTTGTTTGGAATTAAAGTTCTAATCCAGATCTGGGTACAGATTACTAGTCTGCAAAGCCACAGCTTGCTTGCAACGTGACATTTTGCTCGGCTCTGTTAGAAAGTTAGATTGCAAAAAGAATGATTAATGGCATAGTTCTTACCCTGTCAATGTAAAAGACAGTCATTTTATTGTAAAGCAACATCAAACATTTTTAATATCAGATTCAGAGTGTTTAATTTGGAATGTTTTTTATACATAATAAGATCAAGTTAATTCATTAAAACTTAAAACATACAGGAACTATTTTGCAATCTTTCACAATACCACTTGGCAGAATTGGACCGGGTAAGGTTAGGGTTGTTTGGAGTTTTACTTCTTGAACAACTAGGAGGTTACAAGAGCATCTGAATTTTGTGGTCAGTCTGGGATTGTCTGGACGAAAATTAGTGAGGCATGTGGTCCACAGCTATTACAGACTGTCTAAACATAGCACAATTTGTTCCCAAGCAAACCCTTTATGTCACTGTGGAACCTGGCATAACAGGGGTCTTGAGTCTAGTTCCCCAGGTTTAGATTCATTGGAGTAAAGTAGGACTTCAGGACCATTGTGAATGAAGCTCGTATTGAAGAGGGTTTCTGTTGCTTTTTGGAAAGATGAGGTCACATTTGTGCTTTTTGTTTACTACTGCATTCCATACACTGCGTTATTTGAAAAAGCCTAATTCCTTTAGGCTCTCCAAGGCAAACATTCCTTTTGATTTCAATGACAGTGATCAGTAGGGTTTAGCACCTGAACATTAATTAACATTTCACTGCTTGAACTGCAAAGGGAATTTGCTAACTGCTGCTCTGAAGCACTTAAATGAATTTGTCCTCTGTTTTTATATAGCCTTCTAATCTATGCTTGGCATTTCTTTTGCTTAGGAGTACGTTAAATGATTCTATTTATTTTACAGAAAATAGATGCTCAAGCTATTGAAGAATTTTATGGACTGACCTCTGATATATCAAAAAATTCGGAGTCTGGTTATATTTTATTCTACCAGTCAAGAGAGTGACTTGGGAAACTGTGACAACTGCACACAACAACTCTGCAGGCAAAGAAGGTGATGGCCCACTGAATTGACTTCTACAAAAACCTCATCTTGTATGGCTGAAAAATGATATATTCTGCCTCTCATTAAATGGCCTATGTGGTATTGACCGTAACTGTTCATTTTTGACATCCAGAACTTTCTTTCAGGAGGGGAGGGCAGTTTGTTGTTTTCAAGTCTGATTGAGAAGTTAATTGCAGTCAGATTCTAGTAGAATTTATATGGAATAACACCGAAAGAATTGAATGTCAACTGTTAAACCAAATCTGGCTAGAGCAGTATTTTATGTGGAACAGCTCACTGTATTTAGGCCAAAGTTGTTTTAAGCTTTCTAAATGATTTTGGAGTGTATTGACTTTCTTAACCAATTTAAATGTAAGGGGGAAAAAATCTGCTTCACAATGACTGGAATTGTCATAGGGTATTTTTCTTTTTTTTTTTTTTTTACATGATACTCTCAACTGCAAAGAAAGTTAATCTTCCAAAATCATTTAAGCTTTGGGCGTTGTTAAAAACTTTCAGTGTATAATGTTAGGCCTAAAATTCACATAGAAGGATGTAAATTACAGTGGAACTAAGCAATATTATATGCCAAGACAATATGATAGTACAGATGAGGTGAGATTTCAGAACTTACAGAGCACTGGAATAAAATCAGCAAGATGACACATGTAGCACAGAGATAAATTACTTTTATAGAGATTGAGCTTATTGTTCTGCTAAAACAGTATAACACGTTCTTGACTTCATTGATTTTGCAGAGATAACAACACTGCTCATGTGCAATGTATCCATGAGGACTGAAATTCCACAGTCCAGCTCCAGGTGTGCTGTTGGTACACTATATACATAAAACAAGCTCCATCCTACAATTTTTTTTTTTTTTTTTTTTTAATATTTGACAGCATTTTGAACAGACTTAGTTCTGCTGTTTCTGATTTTACTGGGCGAATTGGGCTGGTAACAGTAATACACTGGCTAATAAAACTATCAAACGCACATACTGGATTACAGCAAAGAAGGAATGTAAAAGAATGTGTCAGCAGGGTAGGAGAAGGGATGGAAAGTGGAATGAGGAAGAGGTAGCCCTGGGTATCTCTCTTGCTTGGTTTGACACAGTTGTACAGTGCTTGAACCTTAGCACCCAAATACCTGTTCAAATTAGATCAACAGCAAAGAACCTCCTGTTGCCTTCAGGGCAACAGAGAGCTGGTTCCAGCATTTTCTAGGACTCTTTGTCATCTCATGAGATGTATTTCTACTTGTTACATTTTATTGACTCTTGTTCAGTATTTATTAGACAATGTTGCTTTTGCTACTTTTCCTTTAGAAGCCTGCTTGTCATTTTGTGGCAGACATGCTTCAGAAAACTGCCTCTGAAGCAAGGCTTAATCTTCTATTCTAGTTTTCCACAGGAAAGAGAAAAATACTTTTCACTGCAATCTACTGTGAATGTGAAACATTTGTTGTTGTTGCTGTTGAATAACGGGGAAAATGAAATACTGGTTTCTACATCAACATTGATTGAACAGATGGATTTATCTACGGCCATTTTGTAAACCAATGAAATGTAGCACTTTACACTGAAGGACAAACAGAAGTGACCTTTTCATAGGACTTTTTTTTGGTGGCTTATCATGTCCTTATACCAGTACAAAAAAAAAAAAAAAAAAAAAAAAAAAAATTAACCTTAGGGTCCTTGGGTACATGAATAGCAGAGCTCTGCAGAGATCACTCATGTGGATGAAGGTTGTTATGCAGGCTATAGATAAGCATAATTGCGATGCCATTCTTGTTCTTGTATCAATGATGAAATGAAATGTTCTATCTGTAACACAAAAGACAGACATCCTACAGGAGACTTCAGCTCTCACTGAAGCCCAGGACGCCTTTTCCAGTGAAAAGCTAAACCTGTAAGTCCTTTTTTTTTTTTTTTTTTTTTTTTTTTTTTTTTTTTAATGGATTTATGTGCATTCCAAATTTCCATACTAAAAATATAATAATTAATTGCCTTTCAAAACAGGAGTGTTTCCTGCTTGTGAATGAAGGCAGTTTCCAGCTCAGCATTCATCAATGTTGGTCCAAGGGTCTGTACTTCACAGTTTACTGCAGAACATTCATAGGGCATTCTTCAGTTTCCAAACAAGGAAGAAAAAAAATCCTTAATGCAGCTCATGTTTGTACATTGTGCATAGAAGTAACATTAAAATTGGTTCAATTGTAGGATATATTTAAAAAAAAAAAAAAATTGAATTAACTTATCTGACAAAGTATTTTTAACTATTGGTTGGACTGGATGATCTCAGAGGTCTTTTCCAACCTTGGCAATTGTATGATTCTATGAAAATGAAGTAATATTTAAATGATAAATTATAGGATGCTCTTTGCTTTTCTCCAGCTGCAAAACAGCTCTGGGTTGTAAAACATACAGATAATTGCTATGTGTTATTGAGAACAAAATTAATAGAACAAGCTTTTTACCAAGTAAAACCCATGGAACCCATGCTCAAAAATGAAGTTCCCAAATCTTCTACTATAACTAACAAGAAATGCACAAGACATATGACAAACCATTGGAAAGGTTCATCTCATAAAAGATCATGGAACTGATGAGACACCAATCCCCCATCACTGTTCTGACATGAACTCTAAAATATCATGGAATGCTCACTTTAGTCTAGTAACAGCTAAAATAAGGGGTATTTTCTTTTGATCCCAAAAAGTTGCAGTTATAATTCTATAAATGATATCCAACCTACAGCATGCTGAATGTCTCAACTTCAGTCTGGCAAAAGCTGTCCATCAAAGCTGTGTGAACACTTTTGCTTCTGGTGGGAGAAGTTCTGATCTATGCCAAATTAAAAACGTTTGCATGAGTTTTGCAGGATTAGGATCGTTGCAGGAACAACAGTATGATCTACTGTGTTCTATTTGATTAAATAAAATTCAATCTGTTCTCTCACACTTACACACAGATGTCCAGTTCCTTATGGAAGAACGGTAAAATATCTAGGACAATCACAGCTTTTCAGCCAGCAGACAGAAAATAAAAAGATAGTACCTATCTAACAGTGCCCTGTGCTTCCCTAAAATTACTGCTTTCCTAGTATTTGGTTTTGAGTGCATTAGGTCTAGTGGCATCTGAACTTCTCTACCTCTTTCACATGCTGCTGCTGAGAAGTATTGCCCATTTATTAAACTTTAAAAACTTCTTATCATGTTCTTACTTAGAAGAAAGGAAGAGTTCCATCCTATGCCTTTTTTTTCCCCACCAAACCCAAGGAAGCACTGCAGTGCGGATTAATCACTTATCTTAGAGGATGAGCTCAGACCTCAACTTTTCCACAGAGCAAGCTGTCAGGGTTTATGTAATTTCTATTTCTGGGACACAGCAGAGGAAGGCAGAAGGAGTGATGGAGAAACATATCAGTGAAGCAGAACACCTTGTTGCAGTCCTGAAATGACTCCTGCCAATTCTATATTAATAATCTACAGTAACCACAGAGAAACAGATAGCATCTTAAAGATCTTATTCCTTCAGCAGCTGGGGTGAAGAAAATAAGGCAGTAGGCATTTCCTTCATGCTAGACTTAGTAAAGATATTTAAAATCAAAGCTGCAACTGAAATCTGTGTTACACAGTGGTTCCTAAAGTGCTGATCCTTCATCTCCAGATGTGACATGTCATTCACCCACCTGTTATAGCATCATACCTCTCAGCAGCAGACCCTTCTTGTTTAGTCTTTTTTTTTTTTTGCTGCTTGTGGCTGGTGAGCTGGAGAAGTATCTTGCAGCTGAATGTGTACTAGAAATACTGAGAAGTTCTAGTTTTAGCTCCATTCCATGTTAGTACTTTTTATCAAATCCTGTTTTAATTTATTTCTTTTTTTGTTACTCCGTTAATGTATCTGTATAATAATTTAAGCAGTTAATATTATTAGTTCTCTATTTTAATTTTTATGTACTTTGAATTTTTACATGTAAACAACCCAAGCACTTTAAGCATCAGCGTCAATCTTGTGAAATTCCAATTGGCTTATCACTTTGCTGTTGGCTTTTTGTTTTGTATTCTTTTGCTTTGGAACCCTTTGCTTATGTTCCATCATATCAATCCAATTTCCATCTCTATGTTTGGAGTTCTAGATGGGTGGAAATTTTGGAAGCCCAGATTTGTTCATTACATATTTGTTCGTAAGTAACAAGAGTGCAGTATTTACTACCTTCCTGTCCTCTGACCTTGTATAGCAATACACACCTGATGAATGCAATAACACCGCATGTTTCACTGTCTTGTTTGCACTCTTACCTGCTAGCCTGTCTGGAAATGACTGCAATCCTTTCATCTGCTACAGCTATCAATGATCATAATTTTGAGAAGCTTCACTTCTTTCAGTAAAAAATCTTTTTTACTAGACAGACAGTTAAACCAGTATTCAACCGATAATGCACATATTGCTCTTTGCCATTTTATCTGCTCTCTGTGCAATCTCTAACATGAGCAATCTGAAGAGCTGCATTCATTTATGGCCTTTGTGTGTGCACAAGCAAGAAGAGAAATCTTTTCAAATATTTCCTCTCCCCACTTGGTTTCATATGAAGGGAAGATGAGAAGCAGAGTTTGTGCTAGTGTTAGAAAAAAATAGCACTCCATCTATCAGAGACACTGGACGTTCCTTATGGAGCAGTGCTGGTGGTAACCATATCAGAAAGTTACTTCATAATTTTGGGGGCAAGGGTAATTGCTAGGTTTTTAGACATAGCATTCTGTTTGATCAATAGAAAGCCCTGGAATTTTCTGTTTCTGCAGTGCTTTTTCTCAATTTAACATGGCACTGAATATTTAAATGTCCCTTGGCAAGCCTCAATAGACATGCTTTGAATTTCTTTCCATCTAACATGCATTACTTCAAAGAGATTACTTGAACCCAGCCACAAGAACAATTTAGATTAGCACAGCCCTTTTGCTTACAAGGTCAAATAACACCTACCAGGAGGTATGTGCCCACCTGATGGGACCAGCTGGGCTAAACCAGCACCTTTTTACACACTAATGATCCTTTACCCCCTAGGAGGTTTGTTTGCTGGCTTTGCCTGAAGGATTTAATATAAGACTGCACATAATTCCCTTTATTTCACGGTCTCAGAGTTGCTATAATTCCTTAATAAATCTACTTCATTGGGTTATCTGGGCTGGGAGTACTGCACAGTATATAATAAATTAGCTTTTCTGTGCCATTCACAGTGGTGATTTTGGCAGCCTAATGCATACGATGAAGCCTGTTACAGGTGGCAACTTCACTATATGTAAGATTATTGAATACTAAGAAATTTTTCTGTCAGAGTAGTAGGGCTTTAGTTCTGGACTGGCATCTAGCACCTTAACCCCCATCTTACCCAGATAAAGTTGATGCTTCACATTCTAGATAACCCTACACCATCACCCAGAGGTTCCAAAAAGGCAGAAGCAAACCCTTTGGGAAGATGCCTTGCAGTTCAAAAAATACCTTGCCTGCCACAGTAGATAATTCAAAAATTCACTCTCTCCTATCCTCCAAATCCTTAGTACATATACATTCCTTAAAGAGGCTATGCTCAAACATCAGCTTTCTATTTGCCGCTGCATTCATATTCTAGCATCCCATGATGGATTCTGTTCAAATAAGATGTTATTTTCTCATCTTCTCACAGCTCTCATTCTAACTGTAAAAGCAACTCCAGGGCAGCTGTATTACACATTCAAGTGCTTTTCCTAGAGATGATTTTCTAGCTCCAGTGGTTTCATTAAAGAGCACTAACAGGAGCTCTGTCACTTACCCATGTCTCTTTGGGAGTAAAATCATCATCACTGCATGAATATGGATGTAGGAAGGGAAGAAGAAAGAACAGAGGCAGAAATACAGAAAGAGTTGGTTTGTCTGAGGCTTTGGATGTGCATATCTGTAAATATGTAGTCCCTATTTAACTGGTCCTAAAGGTGCAATGGCAGTAAAACTACTTACAAATACTGTGCTAGTTTTTTTAAACAGAGTAAGAGGTAGTAAAACTATTAGGCATACAACTGGGGACACAAAAATACTGAATTTCTTGTAAAGCAGACAATACACAGTGTGTGTGTATCAGAGTATCTACTCTTTTTAATCATGTACATGTAATTAAACCATGCACTACCTGCAGAATTGTAAGATAAATTTCATGTTGGATATTAAGGTTGTAACATAACAAATCAGTATTTTCTCCTGTTAACATGTTTATATTTTACATAAAATAAACTCCCTAGCTGATGTTGCTTCCATTCAGCTTGCTTTGAATTCATCTGGAGCCAGACTAAGGCTCTGGACATTGACGTTTAATGGCTACAAAAATGCTTCTGAGTGCAAGATGTCTTTGTGCTTACAGATGGGAAAAAAAAACTGCTGAAGCTTGACTTCTGTTTCACTGCAGTCATGGCATTTCGAGAGGCTTCAGGGAATATTTTACCACCAGGGCTGACCGTCTCTCCAGTGCCTTAAGGGAACACATTTTGTGTGAGTTATCTTCGTGGAATATACACATAACTGCATGACCAAGCTGTACCCGGCTAAAGCACCAACCTTGCCAAAGTTACTGAGAACACCTAAAATCTCAACAGAACAAAGAGCAGCTAGAATGTGATAACATTCTGTGACAGAGAAGAACTAAAACCCCAAGCCCTTTAGGTGAAATCTTACTGTTGCTATTGGAGTGGGAAGGAGTTTTGCTAAAGGGTCAGAGAATTGAGAGATTCCTGCAGACTGTTCATTTTTCTGGAGTTATTCATTAACAAACACAACGTACTTTCTCAAAAGTGAGAAAATTAGGGGGCCAGACATTCTTGCCCTTGCCTGAATGGATTCTTGTTATTACTCCAGAATGTTTCAGAGAAGCAAAATCAAACATAGCTGTCAAATTGTCTATTAAATTTATAGCCGTCACACCTAAAGATTTATGGTGTATCAGACTATTAAAGGACTGAGCTGAAAAACACAGCTTGCAACACAAATTTCCTCTCCTTCAGACTTATTCCTAGGATATTACAATGTAAGTTTTTAACTGAAGGATGGGGAAACCAATTTGAAATGTGAGAGATGATAGAAACAAATCTCAAATGTCAACTTTTAAAACATGATATAGTGTGCACATAAATAAAGGAAGAAAATATTCCTAAGAACTGTGCTCACTGTATGTTGGCTCCAGAAGAACTGGTCACACTTGCATTTTCCCAGAAGTTGTATAATGCTCAGCTATCTCCCTTATTTTTCAGCATGAGTTAGAGT